CCGGTGGATTTTTCGTTTGTCGGCCTCACCTAACACTTATTTGACCCTTTTGACTGATTTTTTCCCCAATTTTTCTCTTTAAAAAAGCGCTCCTAACTTCAATTCACATTTTTTCTCTTTGAAATTTGGTTGAATTTGGTGATGGAAATGTGAATTAAAGTATAGAGAGCGTTTTTAAAGAAAAAAATCGGGGAAAAAATAAGTCAAAAGGGTTTAAATAAGTGTTAGGTGGGGTCTACAGACGAAAAATCTACCGGATTTTTTAAATGAGTGGTAATCTGAGCATTTATTTAATTTAAGGGGTGGTAATTTAAAATAAAAAATTAAACGGGTGGTTAGTTCGAAAATGGTTACATTTTTGGGTGGTAATTTAAAAATTAACCTAATTTAAAATACAGAGTTATTTATAAAATAATTTTATATTTTTCACAATCCACTATATATATTATTATTAATTTTCAAAACATTTTCATATATTTTTATGCATTTTAATTTTTCAATTCAGTTCTGTTTAGTTCAGCTCCAATCAGTTCAGTTCAGTTCAGTACAGGCCCTAAGTCAACCTTTTGGTCGAAATTCAAGTATTCAACCATGATCATCTCTAGTGTAATGTGGTTAACATTTCTTGTACATCCAAATTTTTTTTTTAGTCGCAACTCCAATTCAAACCTATTTATTCATTAATTGAAAACGTACTAGGTTCCTTCATTAATACCATGGAAATCGGGGCATGCATCTATAATCATTTATGATATATACTTGTACTAGTTGAACACAAGCACATAATTAAAGTCTAAAATCATTATTAAATATAAGTGTATAACCTAAAGTTGTCAAATTACTTAATTTGGCGTTAACCACCCAGTTGCCTATTAAATATGTGATGACAATCTACAGTTGCCACCAGCTCACCAAGGTTGGTGATTGAAGAAATTAAAACGACGTTGTAGTTGTTGTCAAACATTATGGACCCTCTATATAATCTTATACACCTTACAATAATCTTCTCTTGTTCATTATTACACATAAAACAAAAGGATATTTTAAACATGTCCTTATCGATCTTACTTGAGTATAAGTAATAAGTGATGCATAAAACATTTCAGTTTGTTGCTAAAACATAAATAAATAGTAAAATTATGCATACAAGGTTTCGTGGAAACTCTAAGTTTAACATAATTGTATATAAATTTTCACTAATTACTTGCAATAATTCACTTTAAAAGGATAACATTAAAAATTGCATGCTTTTACGTAAATAACATGAAATAAACCGCCTGTCTTGTGTGTGGTTGGTCACGCTGTGTAACTATTTATAAAAAAACAAAATAATACCTATAACATTGACCGAGTAAGTGAGTAACTCCTATAATATTGACCAAGTAACCCCTATTACACTAACGAAATAGCTTCAATAATGACTGGTCACACTAACGAAATAGCTTCAATAAAGACTTTGTTTAAAACTAAAAATAGTATTAAAGAAAGGAAATTATGTAACACCAAAATGATGTGAGGAACAAATGTAATTGCAAGAGTTTTTTTTTTTTTTTTTTCGACAATAGCAAAGGAAAACAAAAAGAACTACAAATAGTTAGACAGGGTAATCGCAAGAGTTAGGATAAAGAGAATAGTAAGAACTCGTTATTAAAAACAATAATGCAGCAAATATTATGATAATTAGTTTATTACTTCCTCAGTTTCTATTTAATTGACTTTAAGCACACATATTAAGGAGATGAGAGAGTGTGAGAGAGAATGATAAAACAAGTGGGGTACACTTAAAAAGCGAGGTATAAAATTTATTCAAAAAGAAAACGTGTCAACTAAAAAAAATTCATAAAGAGGAATACGTGTCAACTAATAAAAAAAACGGAAGTAGAATGTAGAGAAATTAAGGTAGGAGTATTATTAGATTTTCAAGTGTATTAACGGAGCCTTAATTTGAGACGGTTTATATATAGCAAAGCATGAGGTGAGGTGATCTGAGGTGACAACTTGGATAATTGGGTTCATAGATTGTGCATCAATGCATGGTTGGTCGGCCGGATCATTCTAAAGTGAATAACATTTGCTAATGAATTATTGTGTTTGATGAGACACTTTAGTATGACTTGGAGCTTCGGTTCATAGATTTTGCATGGTTGATCCTTTGTTCATATGGTGTAAATCTATAGTAATACGAAGAAATATAAATTAGTTATTGGTATGGTAGATGCCACAAATCATTATTACATTTAATTTTGGTAGAGGGTTCGTATAATCATATAGGATCGGGATGATGCAAACAATAGTGAAATTTGACTTAATTAGGCATGATGTGTACAAGTTATAAGCTTGACACGAGCACTTTAGTGTGCACACAAAGTTCTGGATCAAGCCTAAGCCGCCTTTTCTAAGAGATGCATGACAAGTCACGGCTCAAAAACATGGCCGCACATTAGGGTTGGTTGGGGCCTCAGATCATTAAAAATGTATAACTGATATATGTTGTAAAATTATTCATGTATATTAATAATGACTTAGTAGTTTCATGAGCTCTACCATCTTCACTTGCAAAGTTGCAAGAGGTCCTTGGTTCAATTCTCACTAAATTCTTTTTTTTACAAAATGTATTTTTTTTTCTTTTTTGCAAAATGTATTTAATGCCTATGCTTATTTAATGTTTACTATTTCCAAAACCAGTAATGCATTTCTTTTTTCTGCCATATGTAATAAATGACTAAACTCTATTTACAAAGTATTTCATTTTTAGAAAATCATGACAAAAGCACACTAATTACACTGATCTACGCGTGTTTTTGTCATGAATTCCTAATTTTATACTCCGTACAATTTTCAAGATGGTTTTTAATGCTTATATATAGCCCTTTAGGGTTATGTATATCATTACCCTTTTTATAATTATAAACTTTAAATATTCCATATTTGTGAAGAACAACGATTTTGTTTTTTGTATTAAAAAATATATCGTGAGTAGAGAAAATTCATAAGCCAAAATATTCTATTTTTACACAGGGCCTCCAAAAAGGTTGGGACGGCCCTGCTCAAAAACTACTAAACAGTGACACATGGGCTTGGACTAAAGATGGGCATGGGTCATGCCGTGTAGGGCCATTCATCATGCCATCGTCCCTATTGCTTAAGAGAGTTGTGCTTAGAACAAGCCAAAAAATAGTCATGTAATACCAATCTTTCATAAAAGAGTTCATACACAACATGCCGTACATTCTATGCACAGTGAGCCACTTAACAATTTATATATTTTATTTTGGTAAATTAGTAAAAGAATAAGAAGTAAAAAATGCAGGCCAACCCATCATGCTCGTGCCAAATTTTTTAAAATAAAATGTATGCATTGTCTATGGCCCACCAACATATCTTTCATACTGTAACAAACTTGTAATGTGGCTCATTTCCATGGTTCCACCCTTAACTTGAGCCAATGTTGGCATGTCCAAGCCTAACATACGACTCTTGAACCGAACCTAAATATTCCCAAAAACATAAACTCACCACAACATCACCTCAACACAATCCACAACCATCTTTAATTACGGCCCCAAAAAGACACCTAAGAAGGGGTGACAAAAGGGAGAATAGACAATAATATATTCCCACACCGACACCCATTTCCCGGCCACACCTCGATGAATATCCAATTGTAACCTCCTTGGCCCCCACTAATTCTCTCTCTTAAAAATTCAGTTACACTTTTTAATAATAATCCCACAACTTCCATTTTTACTGCCACACTTCATTCTTCTTCTTTAGTAACTTTCTTTCAAACCCAGAAGTTTCATGGAAAACGTGCTCTCTTTCTTTCTTCTTTCTCACTCAAATCGAGGTACTTAAAACCATAAATGCTGCTAATCCCAATTATTTCTCTTTCCTGTTTTTAGAAAGTGACCCCCTTAAATTAAATTTATACTGTAATTTTCTTCATCCTTTTATTTCTATCATTGTTGTATTGTCGCTTTTTCTATCTGTTCTTGATTTGACTACTCTTCAACCTGCTTCTATTTTACTGGGTTCTTGTATAATTCTTGAATTTTACGTTTTCTTCATTACTTTTTGCTTAATTATATGTCTTAATCTGATACCTTTCACTTTCATTTCTTGTTGTTGGGTGTGTTTTTTTTGGTATAAATTTGTGTTTTTTTAGGTGAAACAAATTTTTTTTGGCAATTTGGGTTGATCTTCTTTGGTTTTCTCACTTCTCATTTTGAATTCTGGTAAATTGTTCATTCATTTATTTATTTTTTATTGTATGATTGTAATATGTTTGATTCAATGTTTTTATGCTTGGATCATGTATTCATGTGTGTGTGTTTGGCTTTCGAGTTTACACTACCGGATTACTCGTAATAAGTTTAGTCAAAATAAGTTGAATAGAACAAAGTTCAAATGGTATCGTATACTCAAAAATCATACATGATCTTAACAAATTGCAATGCATTTAATGAATTGTTCATCGGTTTAGTTACTACGTTACTAGATTAAGCAATTCTACATTTGAGTATGAAAACATTAAATTTTTGGTTGTTGAAGTGTTAATTCAAACTGGTTAGTGTAGTTTCATAGTCGTCGGTTGTTGTTGTCGTCATTTCTTTTTTTTTTTTTTTGGTTCAAATGGCAATTAAAATATCACTCTGCATCTAGAGACCAATCGCTTTCCAGATTTGATGAAGTTTCCTTTTTTACTTTTGATTATGATTTTTTTATTAAAAACAAAATCATGTTCTTCATACTACAATCTTTTTTCTTTTTTTTTTTTTATTTAAATTAAAAAATTAGGATTTAATTATTATGAGAATTTTTATGGTACTTTTGCTTTTTCTTTGTTTTGATCTTTTTTGGGCAAAATAATTGTTTAGAAGTTATTACTTAGCAAATGCATCACAAATTCGAGGTGCGAGGGAGGTTTAGTCCAATGGTGCTAATCTTTGCTTACATATCATCATTCATAAGTACGTTATTTGAAAAGTACAGTAGTTGATCGAGTAGTCCCTTTTTCGAGTCATGATGTCGAAACTTGATAGTTACTTTTATTGCAATCTTGCTATGCACTTTGTAGGAAGTGAATCAAGGGGCTTGAATCACATGTAGTTTGTACTTTGTAAATCTTATGTCTTGTTTTGAATGTGGTAAAAGTTTGATATTGTTTTGAAGAATACATTCCCTTTTGTGGGGGACTAGAAGAAGTTGTTCCATAAGACCACATATGTTTGTCCTTTTCTATTTTTCATCTTCTGTGGTTGGATTCATTTGGTTTACCTCCACCTTTATCAAATTTCTTTTTTGACAACTTAGCGTTCCGAAGTTTGTTGAGTGTATTCTCTTTGCTATTTTTAGAAATCGGTCGTGTATAATGCTCATTTTGAACATGCACAGCTTCACAGCTCTCACATTGTGTTATGAAATTTCTGACTTACATGTATGTTGTTTTTTTTTTCTTCTATGTGATTCCTTTGTCTTGATGATATTATGTCCTATCATCGCGTCTATTAATTGATAGTATGTGAATATTTAGTTGGTGCATTTTATGCCTTTTATTCAACCTTCTGAGTTTGTTGGCTGATCATAAGTTATACCTCTTTTGCAGATTAAATATAGACCTGACTTGTGCTGGAAGACTTGCCTGATAATCTACATTAAAGGTGCAAAACCTTCTTTTGTGTCTGGAATTACTCTTCTGTTTCCAAGGAACTTATAAGTCATATTTTGATTGCACAATATTTCTGTATATACTACTGAACGAGTGAGGTAAGGTGATACAATATGAGGGAGGCAGAGAAGAAAAAGGTTCAAAAAAACGTTCAAACTAAACCATCTGTGAGAACACCTAGAAGAGAGAGTAAACCGGTTCAAGAGAATGTCCGTAAACCATCAAATGCAAAAGAATCTCAATCTAAGGCTTCACGTGCCAAGCCAGCGTCTAATAGTGCTTTAAGTGATACAAATGTGGGTGCAGAGGCCCCTGAAGTTTATGAAAACGTGGTTATACATTATGTGGATGATGCATACAGGTCAGGGGATGCAGGTCAAGGTCCTAAAGAGCAGGATACCATGACTGGAGACAAGGATGACGATCTAGAGGATTGTTCTAGTGAGTTGGGTAAGAAGGGAGATGATTCTGATTATGAATCTTTAAAAGGCTCAACATCTTCTCAGGATGATATCCAGGCTGCTGATGATGTGAAAATAGGAGCTACAAATGTTTCCAAGAAAATTGCGAACAAGGGTGTATCAAAGGCAAGGGTTACTCATGAAAAGAGTAACTCAGGTATAAAACAAGCTCGTTCCTCACCAAGAGAGACCATGAAATCCGGTGGCTCTAAAGTAGCTCCAAAAGATTCATCATCTGAATGTTCTGAAGGAACTGAGGATAAGCCTATTGAGGAAACAAACCAAGAAATATTTGATGAGGCCTCAAGTGACATAAAAAGTATAAGAAGTGATGATGATACTGTTGGGCCTGAAGGTAATGCATACTCAGAGCAGCAAAGAGCTGCCTTGAAACAGAAAGCTGATGTCATGGAAAATAGGATTGAGAAATTAGAGGATGAGCTTAGAGTGGTTGCTGCTCTTGAAGTATCGCTCTATTCTGTGATACCAGAGCATGGGAGCTCCGCTCACAAAGTACATACACCTGCTCGACGTCTTTCTAGGCTTTATATACATGCATGCAAACATTGGACTAGAAGTAAGAGAGCAACTATTGCTAAAAATACTGTTTCAGGGCTTATTTTGGTTAGCAGAACTTGCGGAAATGATGTTGCAAGGTGAGTGCTGAAATGTGGATTCTCTGCGTAATTGAGGATATTTTGTTTGTCATTTATATATTGTGTTAACTTGTATTCTGATGAAAATTTTCATTTATGATGCTCAAGGTTAACCTTTTGGCTCTCAAATACTGTTGTTCTGAGAGAAATTATCTCACAAGTATTTGGCATCTCTAGCCAAACAAGCCCAGCAAGGTTTGGTGCATCAAATGGTAGTAGAAAAAGTAGCGAGGGAAATGCTTTCTCTTTGAAATTGAAAGGACATTCTAATGGGAATCAAGTAAATATGACTACCCAGCTGTTTGAAGATTGGGAAGAGACTAGTACATTCACTTCTGCTTTAGAAAAAATAGAGTCGTGGATCTTCTCTAGGGTTGTCGAGTCAGTGTGGTGGCAGGTAGTTAAACTATTGGCTTAGCTTTTTAAAGTTCTGGATTCACGAGTATATTTCGCGTGTGCAATTAGTTTCAGAATTATATTTTCTTTTCTAGCTTATGGGACAGTTTGCAGTAATTTAATGTTTTCCCGAATTTCATTTTCTTTTTTCCTTTAGGCACTAACGCCAAATATGCAAACGCCTGTTGAGGACCTGATCAGCCAAAAGAAAATAGGAAAATTGTTAGGTCCCTCCTTGGGAGATCAGCAGCAAGGAACTTTCTCCATTGAACTGTGGAGAAATGCATTCCAGGGTGCTTTCGAGAGGCTTTGTCCTGTTCGTGCTGCAGGGCATGAATGTGGTTGTCTGCCAGTATTGGCAAGGATGGTATGTGATTAATGCAGCATCTTTTTTGCTTGTTGCTTTGTTTCTTCTCTTTTAGTGCATCTCATGAGATATATTCTTGTGTTCTTATATTTAAACGTTTTTGTTTACTAAGCAAGATTTTGTTCTTGAATTCTTGAATAGGTGATGGAACAATGTGTTGGAAGGTTAGATGTGGCTATGTTCAATGCCATATTAAGGGAATCTGCACATCAGATTCCCACTGATCCAGTTTCAGATCCTATAGTAGACTCAAGAGTTCTACCAATTCCAGCTGGAGATTTCAGCTTTGGCGCTGGTGCACAACTAAAGAATACTGTATGCTTCACATTTAACTCTTATTTTTACTTCTGCCAGTTGGAAAAAGTCATGTTTCGGGATTGATTTCTGTGCTCACAATTTTATTTTATTTTATTTTTTTTGTATTTTTTTTAACAATGTGTAATTGTGTATGATAATGATTAATACTTGAATATTATCTCTAAGCACCAAAATTTATTTTCTTTCAATGAAACTTATCTATTTAAAAAAAAGGACTAATGTGTCTTTTTATAATATTTCTCAAGTTTGACCTAAAATTCTAACAGTATACTTATTTCCAAAAGTGAGCATTAATTCGTATTTGATTTCGTACAATGGCTTAGAGATGATAGCATTAGTTTCTGTTATTTTTCTGAACAAGTAAATTAATTCAATACAACTTACTAGAATGTCAATTGTTCATCCTAGAAAGATTTTGCACCTACTTAGGCTCTAATCTGATTAGATTATTTTCATTTCAGTTTAGTTTAGTTCAGCTCTAATAAGTTCAGTCAGCTTCTAATTTCTTTCTCTCATAAATTATTCATTTCAGTTAAGCTCAGTTCATTCAATGAGAACAGACCCTTAGTATTATTTTTGAGAAAATTCTCTAGTTGTGGTAAATATTTGGCAAATTTATTATTTTTTCAGGTTGGCAATTGGTCTATGTGGTTTTCTAATCAGCTTGGCATGGAGACGGACTCTGTCCCAGACGATGATGCTGAAACCTACAATGATGATCCCCAAACTACACAAACTAAGTGTTTTTTCCTCCTTAATGAATTGAGTGATCTCTTGATGCTTCCGAAAGATATGCTTATGGACCGTTCAATTAGGAATGAGGTACAATTTCAGTACACTTATGAGTTATGACATACTACATGACATTCATACCACCTAGTATTATTTGTTCATCAAATCTGATTTATCTTACTTCTGCAGGTATGCCCTTCAGTTAATCTGGATGTTATTAAACGGATATTGTGCTACTTCACTCCAGATGAGTTTTGTCCAGATCCAGTTCCTGGAGAAGTCTTGGAGGCACTGAACGCTGAGGTAAAATTCCTTCCGTTTCTTTTTAGTAGACAACATTGGATGATCCGAGATATCTTAAACAATAGAGTCAGAATACAACTACTATTTACTACCATAATAATTGTATTCTTAAATGCTGGGAAAGCTAAGCCTCTTCATTAAAAATGGATGGATTGCTGTTTGAAGATTTTGTATTGAAAAACAACTTAGTATCTAAATCACCTATTACAATTTGTCTGTGCAGAGTTTCGTTGAGCGGAAAATAGCTGGAGATGCTTTTGGAAGCTTCCCATATGCAGCTCCTGTTGTTTCATATTTCCCTCCATCATCGGGTGAAGTCTCAGAGAAAGTAGCTGAGGCAGGAGGGAAACCTCAAATTGAAAGGAATGCATCTATGGTACAGAAGAAAGGTTATATGAGTGATGAAGAATTAGACGATCTAGATTCCCCACTAACATCCTTCATCGAGCAATCATCACCTCGTACAATGCAAAATGGGAATGCAGGTCTGAAATCTATGGAGCCAACAGGCTGCGGAGGGAACTCAAGGTATGAGCTTCTCCGCGAAGTTTGGTCTTTGTAGATTCCGTTGGTGCTTTATGTCCACCCCTCCTTTTTTCTTTTCATTTTTAGTTATATACGTAATGTAATGTAATGATCTGAAATGATAGAAGCTAAAAAGTTCTGAATCTGCAACATATAATGTATGTTACACTGTAAGTTTAGAAGCATTCTAGCTTTACTTTCTTGTAAAGAAAATAAATTTACCTGGGAAATTCAGTAAAGAGAAGTTGTTATATCGGAATCAATTAGTTTTTCATAGCTTGTCTCGGTATTTTGATCATTATTAGGAGCTGCAACGCAGATTTTGTTTCTGAACACAATTGTGTCTCGTCTATTGAGAGAATATCAATAGACGAGGCACAATATCTATTGACAAAGTAAATATCAGTTGCTCAGCCCGACAAGTTAAAGGCTCCAGACTCTGTGACAGTGTTTTAGGAGGTGGATCTAAGCATGAATTTCTAAACCATTAGATCCACTTAACTGGAGGGGAGGAGCGAAATCATTATTTATTAGTTGAATGGAGGCAAAATTCATCTATAGTATTATTAAAACACAAAGGACAACATGTAAAGCTGTCAAAAACCGACCCGAACCGGTGAGTCCGAACCGTTTTGAAGTGTTCCGAAAAGGAACCGAACCGCTAAGAACCTATTATTTTAAAATCGTAAACCGACCCGACCTGATTTTTAAAAACCTGAAACTGAACCGATCCGAATGTTTGAGAACCGTTAATGAACCGTACCCGATATCAAGCCGAACTGATACAACCCGAAATCGAGAACAACCGAACCGAGTACTTTTGAACCCAATAGCAACCTGACCCATTGTAAACTGAAACCGTTTAAACCCAACAAAAACCTGATAAACCCAAATCGTTTACAACCTGTAATTGGTTAGGATTGAACCGTTTATAATCCGTTATAAGTTATGAACGAACCGTTTACAAACCGTAATCGGTTATAACCGAACCGTTTATAATCCGTAAGTCCGTAACCCGTTATGATCGTAGAATATTTTTTTTTCTCTTTTTTTGGTATATTTTATCAATAGTAAAACAAAAGGGTTTAATTTGAATTATAAAGTATTTATATTGTAAAGGTTTGGAATTTTGATGTCATTGAAACTCTTATGCTACAATATTATCGTCCTCTAACGAGTAATGACTTATGGAACACTATATTGTATTAAAAAAATCAAAAATCTAAATCAATGGCTAGCTCTAGATATGTTATTATTATTTGATCCTTAAAATCATTATACAAAAAGGGACATCTCCATATGATCTACTGAATAACTAATTAAAAAAAAGGATATAATAGATGATATACATTAACGAAACCCGTTTAAAACTGGCAAAACTAGTTGTCAAACCGACTAAGTTCAACTTGAACCGATTACAACCTGAACCGATTACAACCCGACCCGATTAGGACCCGATATGTGTTGATCCAAAACCCGCTTTAAACTGACAAACCCCATTTTTAAACCGACTGAATTTAACCCGAATCAATTATGACCCGAACCAATTATAACCCGACCCGATTAGAATCCGACCCAAAAAGAAACTGTAATAAAAATAAACCAAACCGAATCGACCCGAAATTATTTAAAACCGACCCATTACAAACCGAAAACCGATAAACCGAACCTAAAACTGAACCGAAAACCCGATTGACACCCCTAACAACATGCTATCGTTATGTGTCACTGCTTCCTCAATGTAATTTGGCGCCACATCATTGTTATATGTCACCTTATGTAGTTTTTACTCAAAACTATTCATATTTGTAACTCTCCTATTTAATTTTTCATTAAAATGTAACTTTTAAATAATTGCATATTAAACTACAGTTTAATTTGTAAGAAATCAATCACATATTAATGATATTTCCTTGGATGCTATTTTTCTATATTCAATACCAATTAAGCAATTATGCATAGTAATATTTACAAGTATACAATTGCATTCCTCTTTCTTATATGTTGTTTTTAATTTCTATTTTTAAAATTTATTTTAGACTTAAAGGTAATATTTTCAAAATATTATTTTAATCTAGGGGCCTGCTCTATTCAGCTTAATTTCATTTTAGTTTCAATCAATCAGCTCCTAATTTTCTTCTCTCATAAATAATTCATTTTAACTCTATTCAGTTCAGCTCCAATCAGCACAGTTCAGTAAATCAGAACATGCCCTTAATGTTATTTCAATACTGGGGCATCGCCTGAGCCACAAATTAGTTTATGTCTTAATGATAATAATTGTCAATTTTATGCGCTCAAACTCAATATTTATGTGGAATTTTTTATATAGAAATTCAAACTGATATACTTAACACATATACGTGCTAGATTAATACTGATTTGCTTGATTATTGTTGATAATTTCATATAATCCATTTCTTGAAATTTCACTACAAATTCAAAATTGTAGTATTTTTTTTATCTCATTTAATTTATACTATCATAAAGCATGAGAATAAAGGATAATAAACTATAACAAGCTAGCAATTTGTTTTTACAATTTTTAAACTGAATATCACTCCATAATCCATATTCCCCTATTTTTATTTTGTGAAAAATACAGTATTTTCTTTTTAAGATTTGGTCATTTGGGACTATCAATCAAATATATATATATAAAGGGGAGTTTTTTCACGAGTTTTTAGAGAGCCACGAAGGATTTAATTTTTTCAGCGCGCCACGTAGGATAATAAATATTAGTGGTAGCCAATCAAATAAGAGATTATTAATTTCTTTTAGAATTAAATAATTTAACTGACACGTAAGCAAATTGGCGAATGAGATTATCCAGTTTAAATTAATTAAATATAAAATATTATCTTTTAATATCAGGAATTTTATCTAAATATTTAACAATTTTTAGCACATAAATATATATGTAAAAAAATTATTTTAAAAAATTATTTTAAAAAATTCAAACAGACCGTGCATCGCACGGGTTTCATCTAGTTGAAGTGTAATACGGAGTACAATTTTTTTTTAAGGGCAAGTGGAATACAAATTATATGACGCAAATACCCTTTTTTTTAATGGACACATAAATTGTGCCGAAACTCAAAAGTACAAACAAATTTAATGAAATTCTAAATTAGATTGGTACTCTCCCAAAAAAACCCCAAATACGGAGTACAAGTTTTATGTTTAGGAAAGTTTCATCAATTAAAATTCAAAAATAAAATAATTTACAAAAATTGCAATTGCCGATTTAGGGCCTGTTCTCTTCACCTTAAAAAAATAATATTAAGTAAAAATCATTTCAGTTCAGTAAAAATAAGTTTAGTTCAGTAAAATTAATTTCAGTTCAGTAAAAATAAGTCCAGTTCAGTAAAATTCAGTTTTCTTAAAGAAGAATTATAATAGAAAATCAGTAAAAATAATTTCAGTTCAGTAAAAATAATTTAAGTTCAGTAAAAATAATTTCAATTCAGTAAAATTAAGTTCAGTTCAGTAAAAATAAGTTCAGTTCAGTAAAAATAATTTTAGTTCAGCCAAATTAAGGTGAATCAAACAGGGCCTTAGTGTAGCTTAATCCTCAAGCTAAGGAATCATGGTCCCATTATATTATAGTTTAGGTTAATTAGTTTATTCTAAAATTGTTGTTAACAAAAATTACAAAATTGAAGGCAAGTTTTATAGAGTGAAAATACTTTGATTGTGTAAATGGGGAAGGTACGAGTAAACAACGTTGTGATCGACTGTGAGCATCGTCAAGCAACAACACGAAAGCCTAAAAATTGTAAAGATATGGAGATTTTCGTACGATACGAAGAGTGGGAACGTATGGTTAAGTGTGATGAACAACAAGATGAAACAAAGTCTCCGTATGTCAAAACTACGGAAGAGTTACTAGGGAATTATAATCCCGTAGATTGTGAATCATGCAAAAGTTTTTTTATCGAATTATCTTACATCGATCATGTTTCACCCTAACCCTAATAAAGTGCTACAAGACATATACGACAAGGTTTCGAGTCTTGTACGTAGGCTTGGTACGTCGAAAAAAGTGTGCGGGACTTATGCCGTGTATGAAATTGTGAACAATATTGAGACATTGTAAGTCACGTAACAAAGAGCGGTTGATCACTTGGGTTGATTACCAACCTCAACCACGGCGCGCAATGGAGGTGGTTAAGGAAGCGGGTTTGCCTACGGAGGGTGAGGGTTTTACGTGTGCTATTTGTCTCGATGGGGTAAAAAATAAGGGGAAGAAGAGGAAGAGATCAAATGATGATGACCAAGAAGTGGCGCGACAAGAAGAGGAACCGGATTGTTGTGCAAATAATCGAGTAGTGAGATCAGTGTCATGTCATCATATGTTCCACAAGACTTGTATTGATCGATGGGTGAAGGATTGTGGTCATGATACTTGTCCTCTATGCCGGTTTCAGTTGCCGAATGTATCAAGATGTCGTTGTAATTGGGAGCTTTCTAAGAAGAGGGCTTTGGATAATTCCAAGGTTGTTAAGACTGATTTTGATACACTATGTACTTAGTAGCTTCGAGATGTATCAAGTTAAAGCAAGTTGATCGTTATATAATATGAGTTGTTGTATTGTTTGAAAGTTCCTTTGATTATGTTATTATTCATGTATCAAGGGATTTCGTGAAACTAATCAAAATTGCACTTGTTGTTGCGCTTAAGATTATTTATGTAATCCCGATTAATTAATGTTCCTTTTCATGTACAACATGTTCTTTTTATCATCCCGATTTGACAAATTATTTATGAGAGAATAGCTTGAATTGTATTGATGATCTTGGCTATTATTTATAGCCTACAAAAGATAACCTACACAATATAAACTCTATCATATAAGCTTCCATAAATCTATCTTAGAATATCACTAAGATATATTATTATCCTAAATATAATATTATGAAATCTATATGGAAAATATATCAGAATAATATATTTTCCTATATTCCTAACACCCTCCCGCAATCGTAACGGCAGTAACACGAACGTTACGATTGGAAAGTCGCACTTTGTTGAAGTCGATTGAGTTGCACTACTATGTTGATGTCGCCTTCAATTTTTTTTATTTAAAAAAAAAACGAACTTTTGCTACCACGGCCCTTTGCTGGTGTCCATGGTCTTCTTTCACGGCCCTTTGCTGGTGTCCGTGGTCTTCTTTGCCACGGCCCTTTGCTGGTGTCCGTGATCTTCTTTGCCAGGCCCTTCGCTGGTGTCCGTGGTCTTTTGCATTTTTTTTTTAAATAATAAATAATACGCCAAACGTGGCTTTTCTTCATCTCCATGGAGATGCAATAATGGAGGAAGCACACTCAAACGCTACAACCTAACCAAATCACATATGATCATTCATATTGATCACGTACACCAATAATAACCCACGTATCACATGGTTATTCCAAAAAAAAAAGGATTAAATAAAAAAATAGAAATTTCAAAGAGCAATACTATTGCATAGCGGAAGCAAATTTATGAATCCCACCGGTGGGTTTAATATTCTAACCCACCGGCAGGGGGAGTATTTGTGTGAACGGTCCCAAAATTTAACCTGCTCTTGATACCATGACAAATTATTTATGAGAGAATAGCTTGAGTTGTATTGATGATCTTGGCTATTATTTATAGCCTACAAAAGATAACCTACACAATATAAACTCTATCATATAAGCTTCCATAAATCTATCTTAGAATATCACTAAGATATATTATTATCCTAAATATAATATTATGAAATCTATATGGAAAATATATCAGAATAATATATTTTCCTATATTCCTAACACGATTAAATAATCTTATTCAATATTCATAATACTCTGATGCTCCTATATTCTCATTTAATATTTCTCAAGCATTATCATTTATCAATATTTGTCAAAACAATAAGTAACATAAAGCTTGTGGTTATTAGACCCGATGTTAGTGCATTCAGAAGGTATTGATGAATTCTTTCTGAAAGATTTAGTTCACCCTAAAGAAGATCATTAATTACTTCAATAGTCAAAAAAAATTATGCAGATTAAAAGCATAATATAGGTTTTTTGTTTCTAAGTAGAACCAGCAGCATAGGTATAACTGTAACTTGTATTCAAACCCATCAAAAAATCGCAAACCAGTATATACTACTATAGGTACAAGCTCATACAGAGCACCCCTCCAAAATCAGAAAAGTGAGGAGCTTAGCAAGAAGTACTAAAGAAAGCAGCAAGTAAATCGAGCTCGATTTACATAACATTACTTAAAATTTGACACTTTGTCATAGCTGCTGTTAATTTCTCAAACTGGAAGTGACCCGTCAGTAGAGGAGGATGAGGTAAATGGTAGACGTCGAGAGCTAGATTTGGAGCCAAGAGTTTGAAGGGCCCTTACAACCTCAGTCATTGAGGGCCTTTTTTCAGGCATTACACTAGTGCATTGGATACCAAGGTCTAGAGCACCAAGCATCTCTTCTTTGGAGGTAACTGATATTCTAGGGTCAAGAACATGATCAGACCCATTAGCAATGTTGATCTTCCTTCGAACCCACTTCACTATATCAAGTGATGATTCTTCTGAATCTATTAATCCTGCTGCTTGCCTTCCAGTCACTAGTTCTAACAGCACCACGCCGAAATTGTACACATCCATTTGTTCAGTCGCTTTCTTGTTGTATTTACATTCTGCAAACAAAACAGCAGTATAATGAGCATAATGTGCAAGGTTAATCAAGCAGCTCTCAAACAGTCAATAGTATAGAATTTTGTAAGACAAATACTTGGAGACTAAATTTACCATGATTAGTATAATTACCTGGTGCTACATGACATGAAAATGGAGATTCAAAGGACAAAGTAGACTGGAATAAAGAATCACCCACGATCCTGTCAAGAGCGAAATCTGTAATCTTGGGCTCGAAATCAGCATCCAAAAGAATATTGGCTGATTTCACATCTCTGTGCAGTAGATGAGGAGAGTAATCATTGTGAAGATATGCTAATCCTTGAGCAACCCCAATTGCAATTCTCAACCTAACATTCCACTGCATCTGTAAGTTCGGCCTGCCAAGTATATCGCCTAAGCTTCCCTTTGACAAGTACTCATAAATGAGAAAGATTGAATCTTCTGTGCAACAGAAGCCAAGGATTTTCACAATGTTCTTATGCCTGATTTTTGCTAATGTTTTGATTTCGCCTTTCAAAGATTTTGTTGATTGGCTACCAGAATTTACCAGCTTTTTCACAGCAATAAGCTCACTACTTGGTAAGCTTATGATATGAACTGTCCCAAAAGTTCCACCACTGCCTACTGCAGTTTTCTCATTGATTGACATAACCAAATCCTGTTCAGAAATCCTCAAAGGATAGAAGAAAACCGAATGCCAAACACCCATTTCAGATTTGTTTTTAGCACGACGATGAATCAAGAAAAGCGCGAAAACAGCCATGATCACAGCACTTGCTAGAGCTACAGATACAAGAGCATAACCCATTCTAGTAAGACCGGCATTTCGGTGCTTTTCCCCTTCATCTGAACAAGATTTAGGCAACCCCGGACCACAAAGACCAGGATTTCCTTGCAAATATGATGCAGGGAGGCCTGTTACTAACAAGAAAGGTACCCTCCCCGACAATCGATTATAGGAAACATTGAACAATGCCAGCTTCAAGTTCTGAAGCTCTTCTGGGATTGAACCAGTGAGATTATTACCAGAAAGATCAAGGTAAGTTAACACAGGTAATTGCCCAAGTGAATGTGGGATTTCGCCAACGAAACTGTTATCAGCAAGAGACAATGATACAAGCTTCCTACACTTCTTCACCTCAGGAATTTTACCAGAAAGCAAATTCTGAGAAAGATTTATAATACTCATAACAGGAGAATCACAAAAATTATGAGGAAGTCCACCAAATAAATGGTTATTTGAAGCAGAAAATCTGTACAAACTCTTTACTGACCCAAGACCTTTAGGAATACTACCAGTAAAACTGTTATTATCAATCTGAACTTGCTCTAATTTGATAGCAGTTGATATAATCTCAGGAATTTCACCAGAAAATCTATTATTTTCACCTCTAATTAGCATAATCTTAGGCAATGACCATAACCCATTTGGGAAATTCCCAGAAAACCCATTATTCTGCACTTGAAATCTTTCAAGATTAATGCATTGGTTGACACTTTCAGGCAATAACCCAGTAAAGTGATTAGTGTGAAGACTAAGGCTTGTTAGGGTTTTTCCACTACATATCCCATTTGGAAATGGCCCACTAAGCTTGTTTACTGAAACATCAAAAGACACCAAATTTACAAATGAAGCACCAAGTTTCTTGGGAAGCTCACCTGTTAGATTATTTTGAGAAAGATCAAGCACTTTTAAGCTACTTAATCCTAAAAAGGTTTCAGGAAAGTCACCAAAAAACCCAGAATTTTGCAGAAGAATCTGCTCAAGCCTTTTCAGATCACCAATTTCACTAGGAATCTTACTCACTAAAAAGGGATTCTCAGACAAATCAAGAACAACAAGATTACTGAAGTTCCCAAAAACACCAGGAAGATTACCAGAGAGTAAATTGTTACCAAAGTTAAGAACTTGCAACTTTTTTAACAACCCAATATTTTCTGGGATTTTACCCTCAATATGATTCTTGCTAAAATCAATCTCTTCCAAAGAAGAGAACTGGGAAATCTGTTCTGGGATAGTACCCCAAATGAGATTACTGCTAAGATTAAGGCTTACCAAAGAATCACAGTCAGAAAAGTGAAGTGGGATTGGTTGATTAAAGAGATTATCAGCAAGATTAAAGGAAGAAAGACTAGGAAGTTGACAGATTACAGGGGAAAGTTCACCAGAAAGATTGAAACTTTGAAGATTGATTGAAGTGACAGAGGGACTATTATTGGAGCAAATGATGCCAGTCCAGTTGCAGTAATGAGAAAGTGAAGTATTGGACCAAGAAGCAAGGAAATTGGAAGGGTCTTTAATGGTGGATTTGAAAGAGAGAAGAATGTCAGATTCAGAGGATGTTGAAGAGGAGTTAATGATGGTGAAGAGGAGAGAGAAAATGGTGATGAAGTTGCAGAAGAAGGTAGCCATTGGAGGGTAGTGAGTGAAATGAGTGAGCTTGGCAGTAAGTGTTTGGTTTGGTTATAGTAGTGCTAGAAGTAGTAGGAGAGGTAGATAAATATGTTGAAATTTGTTTTAGGAGGGAGTGTAAAGTAAAGAGAGGTATTGATGGGTCCAATGTCTACTATTGTTCATTTGTTTGACATTTTTTTAAGGACTTTGGAGAATGTAATATGTATTGAGATATTGACAAAATGCTAGCACATGTGACATGTTTAAAGAACCAACATAGAGATTACTCTCTTGTTATAAGAAGTACTTGTATTAGGGGTGCTAATTGAGTAGAGCAGCTCGCGAGCAACTCGAACTCGACTCGATTAACGCATGGTTAAAATTTGACTCAAGTTATAGCTCCACTCGACTCGACTTGATAAGCTCCTGAGCAACTTGATAATATATTTTATTAATATATAAAATATACAAACTAAGTTATTATGTTTAAACAAGTATGACACTTAACAAGTGTTAATTTATATCATCAAAAGAATATATATATTAATTTCATTGACTTGTTCTTAATTTCATTGACTTGTTCCGAATTAATCAAACACAATTGCACCCTTATTTCCTAGCAGCAACAATATAAGTTTATGCAAAGTTTTAAGAAGAGTTGTAAATGTGAGAGAAAAATAGTACTCCGTAAAAATTGAAAAAAAAAAAAGGAAAAAAAAGTGATCCAATGCTACATGTTGTAAGTAGTGTTTTTTTAGAGGACATGTAACGTGTAAGTAGTTAAAAAAAAAAAAAAACTTTAAATCAGGTGTAAAGAGTAAATGGTGCAAGTATTCGGGGAGAAAGTATAATTATTACACCGTAATTATGAACTCCGACGTAATGTTTCGACTTCAAACGTAGATTTTTGGCACTTAAATGAAAAAAAATAAATTTGAGAAATCATGGCGGGGTGAATTTTGTAAAATCTCTCCGTTTCTTAATACTGCAACACTTTGACATTTATACTGCATAAAATATTTATATACATAGAGTTAATTTCTAACGACATTTTATTTCTTTTAAATTTGATATAAAAGTTATTGTAAAATAGAGTATGTTATTATTAGATTGTATCAATGCAATAATTTGACTTTTTACACAACAAATAAAAATCATATATGGTCAAACTTATGTATTGAAAAATGTGTCAATCAAACTGTTATAAGTAGTGTGTATTTAGGAATGTAAAGTTATTAGCACAATCGTCCCCCTAAGTTTTACATTCATTACATTTAGTAGTAACATATTTTATACTTCGTAATTATTATACTTAAATCGGCATATTTTACGACAACTTCTAAACTGTATACGAAGTAATTGTTAGGGCTTGTTCTGATTGACTGAAATGAGCTGAACCGAAATGAACTTCTTATCGGAATTGAACTGAACTGAACTTCTTATTGAAACTGAACTTAACTGAATTGAACTTATTGGAACTGAACTGGATATTTTATGAGATGAGGAAATTAAGAACTAAAGTGGACTTATTAGAGCTGAACTGAACTGAAAATAATCTGAAGAGATCAGACCCTTAGTATGTCAAAGTGTTAGGGCCTATTCTCATACATTTATTTTCAGTTCAGTTTAGCTCCTAATTTCCTTCTCTTATAAAATATTTATTTCAGTTCAGTTTATTTCAGTTCATTTCAGTTCAATTCAGCTGATTTCAGTCTATTAGAACAGGCAATAAGTATTTGCTTGAAAACCCATTGTTAGTATTTGCATACAGTATAGTGATTCCACTTGCCAAGAAAGAGATGGGAGTGAGCTTCGGAGTAGTTGTAGACAAGACTCCATAAAACAGAAAAATTGGAATTGGGTTTAGATTTTGTCCATTTTTGTTTCAAACAACTTAATCCTCCCGGGCCCCACCAGTGACTTTGTGTATTGTCGTACACCTTTATTTTTCCTTTCTTTTGCTTCATCATTACCGGAGAGACTTTACTATCTTTTTCTCATCTCTAATTCTATTTCATACATATTGCTTCAATTCTTTGATTTTTGCATAAGAATCCTAAGTAACTGTCAACTAGTGCACCCATTTTGAGTTTTATTGTAAATTTGTAATACAATTAATGATTTAAGGGTCTGTTTACAACACTGTATAAACAATGTGAAGTATGTATATGTGGACGAATTGAAGAGATTCCATCGGCTTTATTGAAGACAAACCCGTGAGTAAACCTACTGCTAAATGACAAAGGAAATTGACTTGATTAAAGGCAAATTACATGTCTTCTTCTACAGACCATTTATGTTATAAACGGAATTGCACAAATAAAATAGTAAGAACAATGTTACCGAGAATAAGACTGAGTCGCGGACTATGTCGCTCTCTTTAGAACATTCGCGGCACTGCCTCAAACTTGTGCAAGCAGCTCGTACCAAACCGGATGCCCCCAGGATAAAACAGTCTTTCACAAGTATAAAATACCGGCGGTTTTGCACCGAACCACCGGACAACGGAACACCAGAAAATCAGAAAGAAACTGCTCGACTGTTTTGAGAGGAAGAGAAAATATATTTTGCAAAAGTGGTTTTTTGTATTTTTTTCGTGTATTTAAAAACAAAGCTGGAACCGTCCTTTTATAGGTAAAGATACGTAACAGCTTAAGCATGAAAACGGGAGAAAGATTAGCAACGTTTACTGCAATTAGTGTATCCGTTAAGCAAGAATCAAGGCATGAAATCAGTGTAACGGTGCAACGTTTAGCAGTAAAACAGCAACGAGAATCAAGCAATGTAACGGAAAAATTTAAACCAAAACAGTAAAACGTTTTGTAACTGAATATTAATCAAACCGGTAACAAAAATTAAGTTTGTTTAATAACCCAAACCCGACCCAGCCCGGCTCGGTTCGGTTCGGCGCGCGTGTGTGATATATGGTTTACCATATAGGTCCTCCCTCTCCACAAAATGTTGGTAGCCCAAGGGCCACACCCTTTTAGCCCACTCTCTATATTATAAAGAGAGTAAAACTCTCATTTCCCACCAATGTGGGACTTTGAGTTTTTTCACAAAATTCACACACTACACACTTGTTGTTCCAACAATTTATATCGGAAATCGGTTGATTTGTTTTTAACTTCTCTCCGTTTTATATTATTTGCAACGATTTGACACAAAATATGAGTTTAAAATATCTAATGGTTATTTAATAAGCGGTTACTCGATTAGTCAAGGTAACTCTATCAGGAATTATCCGATCAGTATTTTAGTGTGTGCCAAGGTTAGTTCCAATTTACTAAAAACAACCTAACTGAACTGGATATAGCTGAAATGAATTGTTGATGGTAGAAGGAAATTAGAAATTGAACTTATTGAAACTGAATAGAATTGAACTAAACTAAAATTAAGATAAATTGAACAAGCTCTCAGCAGGACAGATTACGCGTTGCAAGTTCAAATATTCAGACAAAATAAACTTAATTACTCTAGGAATTTACTTACTCTAATTTCAACCTTAAACAACATGTGAAAGAGTTAATATGAAATCTGATTAATGCAAAAAAAAAAATTAAAATAAAATAAAATAAAATAAAATTTTGACAGCTGAAAAGGCATATAAACAGTCTGAGTGAGAGCAGCAAACTGATAGATGCTCCTTTTACCTTTCAGATATTCATCAGAGTAAAAGCCTAAATAAAGAAAGTTTCTCTATACAGTAGTTGACCTTCAATATTTAAACTTTTTACTCACTTTTTCCCGTGTTTTTGTTATACAGTACTCCGTTTTATTTATTTTTTTTTAAAAAGCATTTATTTACAGACATTACAGCACTCCTATAATCCTATTCATTTTTCCTCCGTCACGTCTCTCTAGACGTATCTAAGTAAACTAACAACTGAATCAACTTATGTCACGTCGCTCTATAAACTTAAAAATGCTGCTCCTATTCTAGGTCTTACATAAGTCATATATTTAAGAGATTGAGGGATAGGTCAAGTGGTTAGAGGTTTACTTTCGATTCAGAAGATCCTAAGATCGATTTTCCCCCCGCTCTTGTGGTTCTCTAAACACCAAAAAAAAATTTGTCTGTAATTGCCTCTAGTTCTCTACTCGTAGTAAACTTTTAAAAAAAATTGTTTGTAATAGAAATGGAGCAAGTATTTAAAAACGGAGGGAGTATTATGCATTAGAAGCTCCTTTTGTGAGGACTGAGGAGACTATCCAAATGTCTTTTACTGGTATTATTTTGATTACGAATATCTTTTATTTTTATCATCTTGTAATTTTAGGGCGTATTCTCCACTATCTCCATCAACCAAATTTGTTATAATAAATTTTGAATTTATAACTTGAATCAAAACCTCTTTACATATATTTTAACATGATTAAACAAGAAACATGAGTACGGATATTAAGATCAATATTATATAAACCAATCAATAATCAATCCATTTAGTACTTTCTCTAATTTATGAATGACCAAAAAATTAAGGGAAACAGAAAAAGGTTTGATCTTCATTAGTAGTGCATTTGTACACTTAACCCCAGTCTTCCTATTAGCCGTCCAAACAGTAGCTTTTGCTGGCTTTGCGTAATTCTTCAAAAAAATTGTGTATATTATTCTTTGAACAAACAATAATCTAAGTAATACGGAGTTCCTCCCTTCAAAAAAAAAAGTAATACGGAGTTCCTAATCCATAACATTAGCATTGTATGAGGAATTTGTACATGTCAAGAACGTACGTGTTCAATTCTCGAAACATGGTTTATCATCTAATTTTGGAATGTTAAGCATTATTTTATTCTTAAGCTGTACTAATTCTAGTCTAGAAAAATGAAAAACCTCTACTGAAGAATTTGATATTAGCTGTTTTTCATGCTCCAATGTGGTCAACTTCATGCTCTAATGTCTACATTTTCATGGAAATTAGAGATAGAACAGAAAAAGGGACACTAGAAACTCCAAATCCCTAATATCCTTCCTTAATTTTGAGAAGTTCTTAAATTGAAACTTGTAATTTCTATGGAATTTTTAATTGGAAAAATTGATTTAATAATCCCAACTTTAATTTTAGTCATTTATCCCAACTAAAGTAGATTATTCCTAAATAATCCCAATTTTGAGAAACATTTTCTTAAAAAAGTCTAAATGACCAATGATGAAAAGCAATATGATTTTTTTTTTTTTTTTTTTTGTAAATTGCAACTTGTTACACTTTAAATAGTCTAAAAAAAAACCACTAAAACTCCTCGGACCCTCCCTC